GCCCCGCACCGCCCCGCCCCGCCTTGCCCCAGCGCACGTTGGGATGCAGGCGGCGCAGCTGCCAGACTGCAGGGAGTAGAGCAGCGTGCCGTTCGCGGGGTCCAGCGCCAGTATCAGGGGGCCCAGGCCGGACGTAGCCCAGCGGTCGGCGCCTGCGGGCGACGTGAATGCAGGAGCAGCCGTGTGACATTTGTGCCGCAATCAGCTCTCCCTGACTGAGCCACGCCATTTTTCTTGTGGCGATCCCATGTGACGTCGTGCAGCCGTGCCCCCAACTGTGGTGCAGTGCCTGCGTGTGCCTGCGTGGGCTGCAAGGGTGTGGGCGGTCTGCGAACTCACAGCCAGGCGAGTCGCAAGACGGCAACAGCCTAGGCCAGGCCTGCCCCACAGCGCATCCCTGGAAATCAACCCCCGCCAACCCTGTTGTGGGATCAGGCACAATTCTTGGCTTTGCCGCCTGCATCCCTTATCCAGGCGCAAGAGCTCACCGAGTGTTGCGCCAACGAGGATGACGCCGTTTGGAGCGATCACTGGCGACGCCACCCCAGTTACGTTCCGAGGTGACGCAGGCCCCGATGGCCAGCTTGCGCCCCACACCCATCTCTGGGCCAGCGTCTTGGAGGCCGGGTTGTAGTCAAAGGCAAAGACAGCAGGCGTTTGGAGGGCGGTGGTGACAGCCATGTAGTATGCGGATGAGTTGTCTGGGTTGGCCTGCACACAACCAGCAGGGGGCAGGGTTGGCAGAGTTAGGGAGGCTTAGGGGATGCTGGGAGGGCGGTCTCTTCAGGAAGGGGGCATGGCGGCTGGCTGTGCAAAAGTGGACGCACCTTCCCCTTGATTCGAAGAGAGAATCAGGGGGCAGGTGGTTGCGCAGCAAAGGGGCATGTTGTTGTCACGACTGCCTCGTCCCACCGGCCACCCAACGAAACCAAATCACAAGCAGCTGCAGTTTGTCGTATCCTGTGCTGGGCGCACCTGGTGCGCGGTGTCCGGCGCCGCACTGGAGTTGGAGGCGAGGGTGCTCGATCCGTAAAACGGAAAGTGCGCGCCCGGCTGCAGGGCGCCCGCGTCCACGCCCTCGGTGTTCATCACGGCGAGCGTGGACACGTTCACGCCTGTGGTTGGGTGGGTGGGGGGATTGTGCGTGCGTGCGTGCGTGCGTGCGTGTGTGTGTGTGTGTGCGTGTGTGTGTGTGTGTGTGTGTGTGTGTGCGTGTGTGTGCATGTGTGTGTTGAGGGCGCTAAGTGGAGGGGGGGGTTGCAGCGGCCAGGGCAGATGACCGCTCTATCGAAGCCGGGACTGGCAAGGGTCATGTATCGGGCCTGCAAACAGCAATGCAAACGTCGGCATGCGGCAATAGGGCGGGCGCCAGCAGGGCCGCGCCTCCAGACCTTGTGATACCCGGGCAGCAACGCATGCCGGGCACGTCACCGACAGCCCCCACCTTGGCCGGGGTAATATACTGGCGATGCGTAACGTAGCAGGGACCCGCCGCTGGCGCCGACGTCAAACACCGGCCCCAAGCCTGGGAGGTAGGGCGAAACATCCCCCTGCTGCAGCACCGCCGACTGCCACTGCGGCCCGGCCACATCGAGCGTGCTCGTGTTCGAGCACTCGCCGTTGTTGGTCGCGCCCAGGCCTTGCGCCAGCGCTGCCCGTAGGCTCGCGGCGGCCGCGGGCGAAGACAGCAGCGCAGGCGCAAATGCGGAGGAGGCTTTGGGGCCAGTAGACAAGCTGTAGACAACCTGGTCACCTGGAGGGCTGTAACTGAGCTCCGCGTTGACAGCAAATCGAAATTCAAACCCCGTGCTGACGCCCGCGGCAGGGGTGACGCGGGCGCCGCCGTAGCCGGCGCCTCCGCCGCCGCCGCCGACCGCGACGAGGACGCCGCCGGTGGAGAGGCAGAGGGGGATGCGCGCCGCGACGACGTTGGCCATGGCGGCGCCGAAGCGCTCGGGGTAGCTGCCGGCGTCGCTGACCGGGCGCGGGACTTCGGGGGCAGGTTTCATCGGCGGCGGCGCGGTGACGAGTCACCGGTTACCAGGGTGCATGTGTGTGGAATCGGGCTGCGCCGTTTGGAGATCTGCACAGCAGCAAAATCAAGACTGCAGATTCAAGGCAGCAGCGTTAGGATGTGACCTCAGTTATTGGTTTCAGTCAACAGGCTCAGCCTACGGGGGCTCGCACACTCACGTTTGCAGCCCTTGCGGCCCGCGCAGCCGCCAGCAGTCGACCCCACGTGCGGCCAGAGCCCGTCCGCGCCGAGCGCGTTGGCGCCGCCCCCCGCGCCGCCGCCGCCGTCCCAGCTCGGCTTCTTCGGGCCGCCGCCAGCCTTGGCGCCGAAACCGGACCCACCGCCCCCGCCCCCACCAGCGAAGTTGACCTCCGTCCCATCGGCGTACCGGCAGGACAGCCCAAAACCCGCGCCGCCGCCGCCGCCGGCGCCGAAGCTAGCTTGCGGGGCGGCGCTGGGGATGGCCTCTTGGGCGCAGAGGTAGCCCTTGCTGGTCAGGCGGCGCAGCGCCTTGGACGCGCCCGACGCGTAGTAAGAGGGCTTGGCAGATTTCTTGAGCCCGAGGTCAAGCAAGGCGCCCAGGCCCTGGGGTTGTCAAAGCAGCAAGGCAAGGCTTGGCGCTGACGTGGCGGCACAGTTGTTGTCTGGGGAGGTGTCAGTTCTCTCCCGGGGCGCTGGGCCCCCGGGCGGAGCCAGGGGCAGAGGCTTCCAGACGCCGCCGATCAGCGGCACCGCCGCCCGGCTGCAGCTGCTGGATGGGGCGCTGCTTTCACGGCCGCGCCCCCCCTGCGCAGCCTGGGGCGCGCAGGCGCCACAACATGCCCCCCCCCCCAGGGGTTGGGGGGTGAGGCGCCCTCGCCTCCGTCCCAACCGGACCTCCCAGCCCGCAACGTGGCGCCGGCGCCGGCGTGCGCGTTTGGTCTCTCTTCATGTCCCTCAGCGATATGGCACGGCGCGGCGCGGCGTGGCGCGGCTGGCCCCGGCGCACCTCTCCCAGGTAGGCGTGCAGCTTCCCCAGGGTGCACCTGAAAAAGGCGCACGCAGCCAGCCCGCGGTACCCGCCCTGCGCCTGAGCGCACGAGGCCGAGCCCTCGGTGCCTGGCGGGCCGGGACAGGAGGGTTGGCGAGGGAGGGTGGGCGGGGCGGCTGTGGTTCGACTCCTGGCCCCGTCATTGTGGTTCTGGGGATTGAGGGTGCTGCCCTGGTCAGCGCGGCGTAGGATGTACGCACAGGGACAGGTCAGAGGTCGCGCGGCTCACCCGGCGCCGGGACTGCGAAGTAGAAGTTGACCCGGGGCTTTTGGCGTGTGGCCTTTTCGATGAAGCTGGAGAGCCGGCCGGTGAGGGTGTATGCGAGGGGGGCAACCACTGCATGTGCCGGGTAGCCGTCGGCCGCCAGCGCCGCGCTGAGGCACTTGAGGCTGGTGTATACGTTGCCAACCCCCTTGCAGCCGGCCGGCAGGCCCGCGGCGGCGGCGGCAGCAGCGGCTGCAGGGGGCGAAGTTGAGGGCAAAGGCTCCATAATAATAGACGCTGTACCGCGGGAGTGTTGGGTTGGGCAACTGGACGGTGGCAGCTGAGCGTGGCGTTGGGGTCTCGTGCAGGCCGCGGTGCCCGGGCGCCTCACCTGGCGTGGGCGCGCATACAGCGAGCGCCGCCAGCAGCACCAGGAGCGACCCGGTAGTCTTGAGATGCATTGCAATGCCACCCTTTTGGCGGCGTGGACAGCAGGTCAGGGTGTTGAGTGTATGATTTTCGCCACGCAATCCTATGTGGCACTCGCGGTGACACTTGGGCCGTCATCAATCTCCACTCACACAAACAAGAGTGTCAAAGACACACGAATATCATATCATTCGTGCCGAAGATGCAACGACCACCCCCCGGTCCCAAGCGAGTGTGGCCGGCCCGGAATCTGAGTGACTTCGCACCTGTAGAAGCGCCATAACGCAAAGCTTGAACGAGGATTGAATTGGTCAGAGGAGCAAAAAGGCACCTCATCATGGGCGTCCGGGTCTTGGGGCTGTGGGGGACTTGCAGCAGACGGTATGTCCTGACGGACACTGCAGAAGACGTGTCCGGGCCTGGCCGCATGATCGTGTGAGCTGCTTCCATACCCGCACAAGTGCAACTTGAAACTGTGAGACATCTGTCAGCTTGCTTGGATGACTCCCTTTTGTGGCTCATGGCGCTCAGCTTTTAGTGCATTGATGCGGTCAAGGTCGCACCTGGTGCGTACTTTGAACGCTACCCTGTAACATACGTACGCGCTGTGGGAACCAACATGCTTGGAGGCCAGCCCCCAGCATGCTCCAGGCTGTCGTCTGACACGCAGGTGCTCGCTGAGAGCCTCTTGTGTAGAATGCAAAACGAGCAGGTGTCACGCGCAACCAGCTCCGAGTGCGCAGCCAGCTCCGAGTGAGCCGCCGCCTGCCCTTCCGCCTTCTGCCTGGATCTCGCCACTCTTAGTGCCAGGCCGGCAACTGCGAGAGCAGTTGCTCGGCCTCCTTTCCCCTGCATCTTTGCTATGATTCTCCACCGCGTGTAGCATCGCAGGCTCGCAGGAGGGGGGGGGGACAGAAACTCAGATGGCTGCTGCGCGCCATTCAAAGCAGGTTTGCATGAAGGGTTTGAGTGCAAGCTGGTCTGCGCCGTGCACAAAAGTGCGCGTGCTGGCACGGGCTGGGAGTTTTGCAAACAATAGCACGAAGCGTGGCTTGGCGCGCAGGTCTGCATATGCAGGGCGAACAAGCAAAATGTGTTGAGCCGTTTTGTCAAGGCCTAGACCGTTGCACGGAGGGACGTGGGGTGGGGGGTTTCAGTGGAAGGTGGGCGACGTCGCGACGCTGGCAGGCGTGCGCGCTACGATTGAAAACGCAATGTTGGAGGTACAACCACCAAAAAATGAATGCACACAACACAACATCACAAACCAAGCAACATGCCTGGCCCTGGGATCTAGGGCCTCACCAAGGCACAGGCGCGGCGAAGGTTGGTCCGCCTGCGGCAGCAGTGGCGCGTGCCTATGGGCCGCGCCCCTGCTCCCGCCGGTGCCCTGCAGGCAGCGCGCGCATGACATTGCAGGGTGTCTTGCTCGCTCGGGGCCCCCGGATTTGCTTGTTATGCTTTGTTATGATCATCTAGGCTAGCCAGACTCCTCCCCCCCGATGACCACTGCTTTGAAACAACAAGGGGGCACTACAAGAGGGCCACGTAGTGATGGCGAGGTCAAAACACACACAGCACAGACGCTTGACAAACCCTGGGCCCCAGGTGACAGTCGTAGAGGTCATGGGGCTGTGGCCGGGCCTGGATCCGTCCGCTGTTTTGTTGTGCTGCGGTTTTTGCTTTGCTTTATTGAAATCGTCTAGGCCAGCTAGACTCGCTCCTCCCGCCACCGTGACCAACCGGTGTGAAACAACAACAGGAGTTATTATAGACAAACTACAAGTCGCCCAGTGCCGACGGCAACAAACGTAATACAAAAACAAGCCAGAATAGAGCTGTAGACATACAAGCAGAGCAATGAGGGCGCACAGCACACACCCAGGAGAAATGCCTGGCCCTGGGTGCAGGCGGGCCGCAGCTTTGACCGCCTGCGGCGACAGTGGCGCGGTATCCGCGCGCCCGCCCCCGCGCTGCGGATTGATTGGCTGATTGATTGAATGATTTGTTACCGCGTCTGCAGCTGCAAGACTCATCGGGAGACTTTTTTGCTTTGCTTTGCTTTGTTACAATCGTCTAGGCTAGCTAGACTCCTCCCGCCACTGTGACCAACCGGGGAGACGGCGCTGCGTACAGTATTTGATTTGATTTGATTCGTTACAATCGTCTAGGCTAGCTAGACTCCTCCCGCCACTGTGGACTTGCTTTGC